CCCTTATCCTCACCCCTGGGGAGAGAAAACCTGCCCCAGAGAGGATATGGGCCATGCAGCAAATTCCTACTTCTGCAAACTTCAGGCAGTCCCAGCTTTTCTCTATCAGGTTACAGGTTCCTAGATACAGGGAAATAGCACAGTTCCTAAACCAGGCTCTCAACAGGCAGCCAAAGCAGAGCCCCCTCCTTTGGGGGAAAGAGTAAACCACAGCCTTTGCTCAGCTAAAGGATGCTATGACTGCCAAATCCAGAGACCCTCCCAGCTGTACATCACTGGGAGGCAGGAGTCACCTTAGGAGGGTTAACTCAGGATCTGGGACCTGTTAAACAACCTGTGGGCTACTTTTCTAAAAACCTTAGACATGACTGCACAAGGATGGCCTCCACTGCCTAAAGATAATGGCAGCAGCTTCCTTGCTGACAGAGGAGGTATCTAAAATTACACTGGGACAAGATATCGCCCATTATACCTCACATCAAATAAATTCTCTATTGGAGCAAAAGGGCTCTCACTGGCTCACAGATAGTAATAATCTAAAATATCAGGTCCTCCTTCTAGAAAACCCTCAGGTAAAAATAAGGCATTGCTCTACTTTGAATCCAGCTACCTTAATGCCAGTTCCAAGGGAAAATGGTCCCCTCCACTCCTGTATTGAGACTATAGACTTGATCTCCGCCAGCAGAAGAGACCTAAAAGACAGCCCCCTGACTAACACAGATGAAGTTTGGTTCATAGATGGAAGCAGCTTTGTCAGACGGGACCTGCTTCTCAGGGTATGCAATAGTTATGCCACAACACGTTATTGAAGCTCGTGCTCTGCCCCCAGGAACTTCTGCTCAGTTAGCAGAACTGATCACCTTAACCAGAGCTCTAGAACTAGATAAGGACAGGAGCAAATAACTCCCAGGGGTCTCAACCTCTACCTTTATTTAAACCAAAGCAGCGAAAGGGATCTTACCCCAGGGAAGGCTGGCAAATAGATTTTACAGATGCAACTCTGTCAAGGCTATAGGTACCTGCTTATACTTATAGACACCTTTACTGGATGGGTAGAAGCCTTCCCAACCAAAATTGAAAGAGCTCTGTGGCCAAAACTCTCCTGAAGGAAGTTATTCCATGCTTTGGTCTCCCCAAATCTTTATAAAGTGACAATGGGCCTTCCTTCAACTCCCAGATTACACAAGGGATTGGTAGGGCCCTAGGAATAATCTGGCACCTTCACTCTGCATGGAGACCTCAGTCTTCTGGTAAGGTAGAGAGAGCAAACCAGGCTCTATGGAAAACATCACAAGGATAGAAATGTGTGCTTGGTAAGGAAGGTTAAGAAGGAAAGAGTTTTTTTAAATAAGGAAAGGACATGGTTTGTAAGAATGACTTCATCCTAATGGCTAGTTTACTCTAGACTGGAATGGAAATGATGGAATGTTTAAAGTAAGTTGAAGAGGGTGTGTGGAAGTCACAGAAGGTTATGAAAGAAAGAAATATTGGACATGCTAACTGCTGCTCTGAGAGGTATCTGTGCCATGTTCCAGGCAGACTGTTGTCTCTGGGTCAATCAGATTGGACAGGCACAAACCCAAATTCATGCTTTTCCTAGACAAAGCCAAGCATCTTCAGGACCAGGCCAAGCAGGGCTGGGATTTCTGGACTGACATCTGGTCATGGAAATCCTGGCTATTTCCTCTCCTTGGCCCAATAACTTCTGTAATCTTGCTGCTTCTCTTTGGACTGTGTGTTTTTAATGCCCTTGTTCATTTTGTCTCTAACAGGATAAAAGCTGTCGAACTCCAAATGGTCATCAGACAAGGCTTCCAGCCCATTCCATTGGACGACCTGAGCAGCCCTCTGGACCAAGCAGGACAGTCTTTCCTAGGCCACTGTTGCACACCATAAAACAGATAGCAACAGGAAATACCCAAATCCTCCTCAACACCCATATGTCAACTTTGAAGAAGCTACAGAAAACGGCACTCCATCCATAACCCCAAAGAAGAATTTTGGGTATTTGCCTCTTGAGGGGGGAATGTTAGGTAGGCAGTTAGATATGAGCTTCTGTGTGTGTGTGACAAAGGAATAAAGAAAAGACGTCTATGTCCAGCATATGCATCTGCATCTGCATCTCAAAGTCATCCAAATAACGTTTCTGGGGCAGCCCAGTATTTGCATCCTGCCCTGCCCCTTCTATCCGATAACCAGCCAGGTGGGGGTCCCCACCCCTTCTGCCTGATAATCTTCCACAATCTCCCAGATGCAGCCCAGTATCTGCATTTCAAATACCCTGCTCCAAACCTGGTCCGGATCCTGGGTTAGGACTGCACCAGCTAGGCTTCCTCCTGTCTGATACCTTCAGGGGAAAATTCAGATAGGAGCTTCTTAATATCTACATCCATAAAGTCCTTTGTTTCTGGAGGAGATGTGTGAAGACAGAGACCCATCTCCTTAAACCCCTCCCCACCAGCCTCAACCGGACTGGTGCTCAGTCCCCTGCATCTCTGCTGAGTCGCCTGCCTGCCTGCCTGCCTGCCCAGGTGTAATCTCTCCACTCAACCATGTAACCTCGTTCCTCCCCCCAGTCCCAGTGACTGGGCACTCTCTCTCAGGTCCTGTCTGGAGAGGTGTACATCTATTCTTATGCATGTCCCTTCCCTAATAAACTTTGCTAATTTACTTTTCCATTACTCTCTGTCTCACAGCTGAATTCTTTTTTGTGTGAAGACAAGAACCCTGCCATTCTCCGGTAACAAGTCCACACTCAGGAATACTGCCCTTAACCTTGATGAGCTGGGTCAAGCTAGGTCAGGAATGCAGACATCTGGGACAGAAAGGGTGCCCAAAGGGTGGACTTTGGGAGCACTGAGGGCACGGGGAGGTGGAGCAGTCGTGCTGTGGATCCTTCATCAGACATCAGACAGCAGCGTCCCTGTCGGCTCCACTCCATGGAAACCAGGCTGGGTGGGAGATGCTCAGTGTGCAGGGGCCGCGTGGGCATGGACGCAGGGTGTGCAGGGAGGCAAGGAGAGCCCCCCACACATTAGGAGAGACCAGGGCAGAAATGTGGTGAGCTGGAGATGGGAGAGAGGAACCCAGGGAAATGGCCAGCAGGGCTGGAGACGACTCTGAGAGGCTGAGAGTCCCCTCTGAAGGGCAAGGCCACCTGGGCGGGGTCAGGCCCACGCTGCACACTCAGAGGGCTCGAGACAGCCCCAAGTCTGGGGAAACTGCACGGTGGGCAGTGCAGTGGCCAGCGGGAAGCTGGCTTCACTCCCGTCCCAGCAAAGGAGGAAGCACAGAGGCTTTGTCAAGGCCCGGACTGCAAGCGCTCCCAGGCCAAGGTTCTCACCCACCGGCTGTTTTCTTTGTTGTTTTCCCCATTGCCTTAGCTTAGAGGATAAGGAGGCTCCCACAGGGACAGCCTGGCAGGTGCATGGGCAGAGAGCCAGTGCCTAGGGCTGCGTTTGCTTAGCACTAAGTGCCCTGGCCCAGCCTGAGAGCCTGGGTGGACACCAGCTCTGGCTCCTGACCCAGCTCCTTGCTGATGACAGCGGGACCGGCTGCCCTGACTGGTTCCTGTCACTCACAGGGAGTCCTGGGTGGAGACACCGGGTCCTCGCCTCAGCCCCAGCCCTGAAGCTGCTGTGGGCATTTGTGGATGACCCAGAGGATGGGGGCTCCCACAGCCATGGGTGCCTGAGCCTCTCAGATGAACACTGCATCCATTTTTACAAGAGCCAAGTGAGGACACAGAGCGGCCAGCAAGAGCACTGAGCTGTCACGGGGCCTTGAAGGGTCCCGGAGGGACGACGGGGACAGAAATCCACAGTGCACAGGGGACGGCAGAGAGCGCAGAGTTCGGTCAGCCCAGCCACGTCAGGACCTGGGGCCTCTTTTCCCAGTCCCGCCCTCGCGGGCTCCCACACAGCCCCTAGCAAGACTCAGGGAGGAGCGGGGCCACCCTCACTCTGCTCCACTCACTCTCCCCAGCCCCACACCAGGCCCAGGCCCAGGCCAGAGCCCCTGCAGCCTCCTTACCAGGGAGGGCGAGATTCGCACCCTGTTGCCCAGAGTGGACACTTGATTCCCATCAGAGGGACGCACTTCCATCAGCAGCTTCAATGACCACAACGCTTCTCGCCCGGGTGACCTAGAGGCAAGGGCACCGCCCAGCATTGTCCACGGGATGAGGGAGAATTGGACTGGAAAGGGAAGGATGAAGTAGCTGCCCAAGACATCCCACACGTGCTGCCTGTTGATGTCTCAGGTGCAGACACAGAGCTCGGTAGCACGGAGGATGCTCTGTCCACACCCACTGTGCTGAGTGTCCCCTTCTATGTCCCTGTTGTGAGACCTTGGTCCCCAGGGAGGCAGGCAGGGGAGGTGTGGATCCCTTGGTGGGAGGAGCTGGGGTCGCCTGGGGTCATTTGCAAGAGGCCTCAGTGACACCAGGCTCTCTGTCTCTGTGTGACCTGGTTCCAGTGGAACTTCAAACCTGCCACTCTCCATGGAGGCATGAACATGACCTCAGTACCACTGAGGCTGAGATCTGAACTTCGAACAGCGTTTCTTAGCAACTAGCTGTGACACCAAACTGATGAAGACTTACTCTAGGACCATTGGTCTCAGTAATGCCACGCCGGCAATGATGACAGCAAGAGTGGTTGTAGGAGTGTCCCTGGCTCTTATCTCTGCCCATCTCAGCCTTTATTGGAGGGACAAAGCAAGGTAGGGAGGAGTGTATCAGAGCAGAGGACGTGGGGTCTTAGTAGAAGGTGAGGTGGGTGGAGGCAGGGACTCCACAGCTCTCCTTGTGCTCCTCAAACAGCCGCTCCAGGGCGTCCATGTAGAGCCTGTGGTAGTGGTCAACTTGTTCCTCGCTGGGGCTGCTGCACTGGGGCACGGGGATGGGGCCGCCCACTGCAGGGGAGGGAGACACGGGTGAGCCAGAGCTGCCGCTGGCCGTGCCACCCACAGGAACCTCCTCCCTGCAGATGGGGACTCACCCACAGTGGTGATGGGCACGGGCAGGGGAAGCAGACCACAGGACTTGTGCGAGAAGAGACCACGGCCCCAGAAGATGCAGGGAGCTATGCTGGTGACCCTCTTGCAGGTGACCTGGCACAGGTACTGCCAGGAGCGTTTTGAGAAAGCCTTGCACCTGAAGGTGTCGTTCTCCCCAAAGGAGTACACAGGCACCAGGGAGGCCCTGGGAGGGGCGAGGAAGAGACAGGACACTTCTCAGGGTCTGGGTCTGCCCTGGCAAAGCCCTTGGGTCTGTGAGTCCCTCCCCTGTCTCCTGAGGCTACTTCCCAAGGTCATTGGAGACACATGACCGTGGCTGCACAGAAAGTTCTGGAAGGAAGCCTCAGCTGTCCTGACCAATGGCTGTGTGGTGGGCTTGGCGTATTCCTGTTCTCACTCAGTGTTTACAGCTGCAGCCTGGTGGCAAGGCAGGCATCAGCCCTGTGTACAGGTCAAGGTCAAGTCCAAGGGTTCCCCTTGACGTGGACTTGGGAGAGAACCCAGAGCTTCTGAAACTAAGGGACACAATGTTTGAGTCCACAGGGATGGGATATGGGACGGGGCACTGCAAAGGTTGAGACCCAGGTCTCAGGACTGACAGGAACCTCCATGTGCAAGTGACACTGCTCAGCACTGGGGACCCACAGCCCCACCAACAGGGACCTGCTGTATGGGTAGGGAGAAGCCATCCCGGTGTCGAGAGACCTGAGCCCACGCACCCGTGCCTCAGTGCCAGGCGCACAAAGCCTTTGCGATTCAGGAGTTCCAGGCGGTGCCGCCTTCGTGCCGTGTACAGGGCCTCCTGGGCTCCACCAGGCACGATGACCACTGCCTGGCCCCGCTGGGGCTGAGACAGTACAAAGTCCAGGCTGTGACGGCTCGCAGGGCGCAGTCCTGTGTCATGAGCAGTGGGAGCAGTCACCACTCCCTCGGTGGCTCTCAATACCCTCCCCCACCCGTTAGCAGGGAAAGGGGAGCCCTAACACTCCATCCCACATCTCATGCCCATGTCCAGCATGTCCAACAGTCAGGGCAGGTCCAGGGAGCCACATGGGTGCCTCAGTGGGGGTGGGGCACACTCTGGCCTGGAGCCACTTTCTCCCATTAAGAGTGAGGCTCACCACCAGCCATGATGTATTCTCGGAACAAGGGGACATAGAAGAAGATGGCCATCATGGCTGTCCAGGGCTGCAGTCCCGGGAAGAGCCGGGAGAAGTTGTTGCTCTCAGTGAGAAAATTACTGAAGGCTCCGGTGCACATGATGCCGTGGGGGTGGGATCCCAGCACGTAGTTCTGGCTGGGGGGCAGCTCTGCTGTCTTCACCAGCTGCAGGAGAGGAGGGAGGCAGAGAGGGGAGGCAGCAGCTGCAGGTGCTGCCTCTGCCCCCTGCTGACCTCAGAGGTCATGGCCCTGGGATGGGGTCAGGTGCACCTCTCCGCCCCTGCCCCTCTGTGAGCCTAGGCAGCAGGTCTCAGGCTGCAGACAGGGAAGGGGGAGCAGGTGCAGGGGAGTGGGGTGGGGAAGGGGGAGGAGGCGTCTATGTGGAGGGTGACCCCTCACCTTGATAGGAAAGTAATCCCTTTGGTATTTCCAGATGGCCCAGGTTGTTGGCCACACAAATCGCCTTCCCCCTGCGGGCAGAGATGCAGCTGGCAGAGTCCCCGAGGTACCCTCCCCATCGCTCCCCACCAGGAGCCTGCCCAGAGCTCACCTTGGCTGGGTGTGTCCCTGTCCAGGTAGAGCCACAACATGTAGAGAACAGACAGGGACCAGAGCCGTGTGAAGAGGAGGTGGAAGAGAAGAAGGAAGAAGAATGGGACTGGGTTAAAGTGAGAAAGAAAAATGATTTCTCATCAAAACTGCAGGCTTCAGCCCAGCTTCCCCTCCCTGCACCTGCTGCAACACTGGAGGGGGCACGTCCTGGGGTCCTGTTCCTGCCCCTTGCCACCGTTGTCCTGAGCAGGGGCACTGCCCTCCTCCCTGCAGCCCCTTATCCCCTGGGGCACCCAGGCAGTGCTGCCTCCCCACCTCTCACCTGAGTACAAAGTCAGCACAAACTGCAGCGCGCCCAGCTTTTCCAGCCACTCCTTCTGCAGGGTCTTCGCCTTACGGCTGATCATGGGGCGGCAGTGCACGGGTGCTGTGGAGTCAGCCATCCTGGTGCCACCATCCTCCTGCAGGCCCCACATGCGTTCACAGGTGTTCCTTCTCCCAGAATCCATGCTGTGGTCAGGGAGATGTCTGTGTCTGGAGCCCCTGAAGTGCCCAGGCTCCCTTTGGGACTGACCTTGGCTGTCTTGGTCCCTCAGTCTTGGCTGGTCCCTGGGAGGAGCTTGGAGGAGAAGTGGGAGTATGGGGGAGGGATTGGCAGCTGTAGCTGGGAGCCTGGAGCTGGGAGCCAGTGTACAGGGAGTGGAAAAGCAGAAGCCCCGTTGTCCCACTGGGTCTGGGCCCAGGCCTAGAGTGGCCTTTGCTGGACCCTATGCTGACCTCTTGGGGGTCCCAGGGAATGTCAAGGCTTCCTGGGTCCCCGGCACAACTTTGACCTTTTGCAAAATACACCCGCAGGTCTCTTCCTACTGTTCCTCCTACGCCCTCGCTGCGGTCACCCAGGGCTCTGATTGGGACCAGAGGTCAGGGACAGTGTGGGTGTGGACCAGGTGCCTGCTGGGGAAGCCAGAGCTCCCCTGTGCTCCTAGAACAGCTGTGTGGTCCTCTCTGTCGATTCCCTGCAGTCGTCCACCTGCGCCCAACTTCTGCTGGCATCGCTGCACCGGGATCTTGTTCCCACTGTGGGTGGGTGAGCGGTTGGTGGCAGTAGTGTGGCGACACAGTTTAGGGCTGGGCCAGTTGCCCACGACTGGCCCCATCAGCAGGAGGTCAGGCCAACAGATGTAGGAATCCGTAAGATGGATGGGCTCCTCTCCAGATAGAACCTGACAAAGAGAGCCCAGTTCACATTTAGGCTGAGGCTTTTATGGGGATGGGTCTTGCCTTCCCGCCTTTTCTCTCCTCCTCTCCTTCTCCTCCGAAACAAAGGACTTGTTGGGTGTAAATACAAAGAATTCCTGTCTGACTTTTCCCCCCTGAAGTCATCAGACAGGGGAAGGCTGGCTTGGGTCGCCCCGCCTTAGAGGAAGGATGGTTATCAGGCCAGGTAGAAGGGGCAGGATCCCCTGGAAGGTCATCAGGATCCGGGCAGGAATTGAAGTGTAGATACTGGGGCTATACCGGGAAGGTTATCGGGATGACTTTGAGATGCGGACGCTGGACCGCTGTAGATGTCCATTCCTTATGCTCTTGTCACACACACATAAGCTCACTTCTGACTCCCTACCTAACAAATTTACAATTCCCTTCTAATTACAGACCCCCAGGTCCATGGCTCCGAATTTGCCTCCAGCACCTCCAGGGACCACTCGGGACCAGCATGGACACCTGGCTGCCTCAGGCCGGGACAACAGACAGGGCACAGGGGCCATGGGACAAGAGCAAGGAGGGCCCTGGGAAGGTTTGGCTGGGACCAGAAGCCGCTCCCTTGCCGCAACCGTGGGAGGATGAGGAGGCTCTCACCCTGGGACGTGATGGAACCAGCAGGGCAGCAGGAGCAGGTGCAGCTGCAGGCCAGGGAGGAGGTGGGAGGGGCTGAGGCCTCCAAGCAGAATCCTCTGCACCAGGAATCTGGGAGGAAGTTCCTGTTCCAACTGGGCCGTCCTCACCAGCTGGGTAGCCAGGTGCAGCCACACCCGACCCAGAGGCTGAGCTTGGGGGATGAAGTAACTCCCCTGAGGCCTCTCCCCCAACCCAACAGTGTCCTGGCACCTTCACCGAGATGGGGAAGTAGTCCCGGAAGTGTCCCCAGACGGCCCAGTCCTGGACCCAGGCAGAGCGGGTGTGTCCCTGTCCCAGTACAGCCAGACCAGGTGGAGGACCCCAGGGGTCCAGGCCCGGCTCAGAAACACAAAGATCAAGGCCACCAGGCACACCTGGGCTGGAGGAGGGGGCCCACTCAGAACCCAGGAGCTGCAGCCGGGTGTCCCCTCTCTCTGAGTGAGAGACACAGCTTCCATCCGCTGGTTCACTCCCCAAATGGCCACAACAGCCAGAGCTGGGCCGACCCCAAGTCAGGAACCAGGAACTTCTTTTGGGGTCTCCACGCGGGTGCAGGGGCCCAAGCACTTGGGCCATCTTTTCCTGCTTTCCCAGGCCACAGCAGAGAGCTGCATCGGAAGTGGAGCAGCCAGGACCTGAAACAGTGCCCATTGGGATGCCAGCACCGCTTTACGCACTCTGCCACATCGCCAGCCTCCGCTGCTTTGAGCAGCTTCCCCTTGTGACCCAAGCTGCTGGCCCTGCCCCCTGGACCTGCTCCAGTAACCCACACACCCGGTGTCCAGCACCTCGCGGTACCCAGTCACGGGTAGGGGGGCCGCAGGAGCTGGGCGAAGCTCCCCTCCAATGTTTGGTCAGGAGGAGGGAAGGGCCCCCGCCAGGGAAGGGGCGGGCTCTGGAGCGGAGAACCACCCTGGGGCAGGTGCACAAGCCTGAGTGATTTACTAAAGGCCTCCAATGGGGAGCAGATGGGAGCAGTAGGGGCTGTGCTGCGGGGTCTCCCCTCTGCTGTTTTCCCTGCAGGGGCACATGGCAGTGGGGGGGTACAGTGAAGGGGTGGGGGGGTGAAGTGCAGGTGGTGGGAGGGGGATTCCTGAGGAAGCCATCTGTTGGCAGGTGCCTCTGGACATGGAGTGGGGGGCAGGTACAGGTGGCGCCAAACAGCACCAGAGGGATGAGGAGGGCAGCCAGCAACCCCGGAGGGACCCCAGTGCCGTCCTCACTTGGCTCCAGGTCTCTGGCCACAGAGGGGACGCGGCAGGATGCGCAGCCCATTTCCAACAGGGGGTTGGTCCCAGCTCAGTCCCGCACCCCGGAATACTGCCCTCAACCTTGATAAGCTGGGTTGAGCCAGGGCCGGAATGCGGACATCCGGGACAGAAAGGGCGCCCAAAGGGTGGACTTTGGGAGCACTGAGGGCACGGGGAGGCGGAGCCAGGGGCGCAGTTGAGTGGTGGGTCTCCCTGTGGATCCCTCCGCAGACATCCGACACCAGCGGCCCTGTGGGCAACACTCCATGGAAACCAGCTTATCGTGATTGAGTCAGGCAGCAGGGGCCGCGTGGGCATGGGGACAGAGGCTGCAGGGAGGCACGGAGAGCCCCCCACAGCAGAAGAGACCAGGGCGGAAGTGCTGGGAGAGGAGATGGGAGGGAGGGAGGAACCCAGGGAAATCGCCAGCAGGGCTGGAGACGACTCTGAGAGGCTGGGAGCCCCCTCTGAAGGGCGAGGCCACCTGGGCGGGGTCAGGCCCACGCTGCACACTCAGAGGGCTTGGGGCAGCCCCAAGTTTGAGGAAACTGCACGGTGGGTAGGGCGGTGGCCGGCGGGAGGCTGGTCTCACTCCTGTCCCAGCAAAGGAGGAAGCACATTGGCTTTGTCAAGGCCCAGACTGCAAGCGCTCCCAGGCCAAGGTGCTCACCCACCGGCTGTTTCTTTACTGTTTTCCCCATTGCCTTAGCTTAGAGGATAAGGAGGCTCCCACAGGGACAGCCTGGCAGGTGCATGGGCAGAGAGCCAGTGCCTAGGGCTGCGTTTGCGTAGCACTAAGTGCCCTGGCCCAGCCTGAGAGCCTTGGTGGACACCAGCACTGGCTCCTGACCCAGCTCCTTGCTGATGACAGCGGGACCGGCTGCCCTGACTGGTTCCTGTCACTCACAGGGAGTCCTGGGTGGAAACACCGGGTCCTCGCCTCAGCCTTGACCCTGACGCCACTGTGGGCATTTCTGGATGACCCAGATGATAGGAACTCCCACGCTGTGGGTGCCTGAGCCTCTCAATAAACACTGCATCCATTTTTACAACAGCAAAGCTCAGCTACCGCAGAGGCCATGATTAGAACATCTAACAGAATCTCTTAGAAATTGGCTTAGAGACCGAAACTGAAGAAAACTGACTCTGGGACCACTGATCTCAGCCCTCACTCAGTACTGCCACACCCGCAATGATGACAACAAGAGTGGTTGTAGGAGCATCCCTGGCTCTTATCTCTGTCCATTTCAGCATTTATTGGAGGAACCAAGAAAGGCAAGGGGGAGGATTCCAGTGCACAGGGCTTGGGGTCTTAGAAGAAGGTGAGGCGGGTGGAGGCAGGGACCCCGCAGCTCTCCTTGTGCTCCTCAAACAGCCGCTCCAGGGCGTCCATGTAGAGCCTGTGGTAGTGGTCAACTTGCTCCTGGCTGGGGCTGCTGCACTGGGGCACGGGGATGGGGCCGCCCACTGCAGGGGAGGGAGACACGGGTGAGCCAGAGCTGCCGCTGGCCGTGCCACCCACGGCAGCCTCCTCCCTGCAGATGGGCACTCACCCACAGTGGTGATGGGCACGGGCAGGGGCAGCAGACCACAGGAGTTGGGCGAGAAGAGACCACAGCCCCAGAAGATGCAGGGAGCTATGCTGGTGACCCTTTTGCAGGTGACCTGGCACAGGTACTGCCAGGAGCCTTTGGAGAAAGCCTTGCACCTGAAGGTGTCGTTCTCCCCAAAGGAGTACACAGGCACCAAGGAGGCCCTGGGAGGGGCGAGGAAGAGAGAGGACGCTGCTCAGGGCCTGGTCTGCCCTCGCAAAGCCCTTGGGTCTGTGAGTCCCTCCCCTGTCTCCTGAGGCCACTTCCCAAGGTGTTTGGAGACACATGACCATGTCTGCATAGAACATTCTGGAAGGAAGCCTCAGCTGTCCTGACCAATGGCTGTGTGGTGGGCTTGGCGTATTCCTGTTCTCACTCATGTTTACAGCTGCAGCATGGTGGCAACGCAGGCATCAGCCCTGTGTACAGGTCAAGGTCAAGTACAAGGGTTGCCCTATAGATGGACTTGAGAAGAGAACCCAGAGCTTCTGAAACCAAGGGACACAATGTTTGAGTCCACAGGGACGGGATATGGGACGGGGCACTGCAAAGGGTGAGATCCAGGTCTCAGGACTGTCAAGAACCTCCATGTGCAAGGACACTGCTCAGCGCTTGGGACCCACAGCCCCACCAAAAGGGACCTGTAATTCGCATATGGAGAAGGCAGCCAAGCCTTGAGGCTTGCTGCCCACTCACCCGTGCCTCAGTGCCAGGCGCACAAAGCCTTTGCGATTCAGGAGTTCCAGGCTGTGCTGCCCTGGGGTTGTATACAGGGCCTCCTGGGCTCCCCCGATCACGATGACCACCGCCTGGCCCCGCTGGGGCTGAGACAGCACAAAGTCCAGGCTGGTAAGGCTCACGGGACGCAGTCCTGGGTCATGAGCAGGAGGGAGCAGTCACCACTCCCTCAGTGGCTCCCGATTCCCTCACCCCACCAGTTAGCAGGGAAACGGGAGCCCTAACACTCCATCCCACATCTCATGCCCATTTCCAGCATGTCCAAGAGTCAGCGCAGGTCCAGGGGTCCACATGGGTGTCTCGTACGGGTGGGGCACACCACATCCTCCCACACAGAGCAGGGCTCACCATGCATCATGATGTATTCTCGGAAAAAGGGGACGTAGAATAAACCAGACAGCATGGCTAGCCAGGGCTGCAGCCCCGGGAAGAGCTGGGAGAAGTCATTGCTCTCAGTGAGGAAATTACTGAAGGCTCCAGTGCTCAAGATGCCGTGGGGGTGGGCCCCCAGCACATAGTTCTGGCTGGGGGGCAGCTCTGCTGTCTTCACCAGCTGCAGGAGAGGAGGGAGGCAGAGAGGGGAGGCAGCAGCTGCAGGTGCTGCCTCTGCCCCTGCTGACTTCAGAGGTCAAGGCCCTGGGATGGGGTCAGGTGCACCTGTCCACCCCTGCCCCTCTGTGAACCTAGGCAGCAGGTCTCAGGCTGCAGGACAGGGAAGCGGGAGCAGGTGCCTGGGATTGCAGTGGGGAAGTGAGGTGATTGAGGCGTCTCTGTGGACAGTGACCCCTCACCTTGATAGGAAAGTAATCCCTTTGGTGTTTCCAGATGGCCCAGGTCCTTGGCCACACAAATCGCCTTCCCCCTGCGGGCAGAGATACAGGTGGGAGAGTCCCTGAGGCACCCTCCCCATCTCTCCCCACCTGGAGCCTGCCCAGAGCTCACCTTGGCTGGGAGTGTTCCGGTCCAGGTAGAGCCACAACATGTAGAGAACAGACAGAGGCCAGAGCCGTGTGAAGAGGAGGAGGAAGAGAAGAAGGAAGGAAAATGGGACTGGGTTAAAACAAGAAAAAAAAATGATTTCTCATCAAAACTGCAGGCTTCAGCCCAGCTTCCCCTCCCTGCACCTGCTGCAACACTGGAGGGGGCACCTCCTGGGGTCCTGTTCCTGCCCCTTGCCACCGTTGTCCTGAGCAGGGGCACCGCCCTCCTCCCTGCAGCCCCTTCTCCCCTGGGGCACCCAGGCAGTGCTGCCTCCCCACCTCTCACCTGAGCACAATGTCAGCACATAGTGCAGGGCGCCCAGTTCTTCCAGCCACTGCTTCTGCAGGGTCTTCACGGGGCGGCGGGGCACCGGGTCTTGGCAGATGTCCATCCTGGTGCCACCCTCTGCCTCAGGGCTCCAGGTGGGGTCACAGGTGTCCCCTCTCCCAGGGTCCAGGCTGTGGCAAGGAGATGCCTTGTCTTGAGCCCCTGAGGTGCCCAGGCTCCCTCTGGGACTGCCCTTGGCTGTCCTGGTCCGTCCGTCTTGGCTGGTCCATGGGAGGAGTGCAAATAGATGTGGGTGTAGGGGAGGGGTTGGCAACTGGTGGCTGAGAGCTGGAAGCTCATGTGCAGGGAGTGTAGAAGCAGAAGTCCAGTTGTCCCACTGGGTTTGGGCCCAGGCTGAGAGTGGCCTTGGCAGGACCCTCTGCTGACCCGGTGGAGGTCCCAGGAAAGTTAAGGCTTCCTGGGTGCCCTGGACAACTTTGACCTTGTGCAGAAACACACCCACGGTCTTTTCCTACTGTTCTTCCTATGCCCTCCCTGCAGTCACCCAGGGCACTGGTTGGGATCAGAGGTGAGGGCCAGCGTGGGTGTGGACCAGGTGCCTGCTGGGAAGCGAGGGCTCGCCTGTGCTCCTGGAACAGCGATGTGGGCCTCTCTGTCGATTCCCAGCAGTCCACCTGCACCCAACTTCTGCTGGCATCGCTGCACTGGGATCTTTTTCCCGCTGCGGGTAGGTGAGCAGTTGCTGGCAGTAGGGTGGTGACAGAGTTTAGGGCTGGGCCAGTTGTCCATAACAGGCCTGGGGGGCAAGGTGCAGGTCCAGGTGGGCCACCCATCAGCAGGAGGTCAGGCCCACAGGGAGCTGCAGTCAGACTCAGGGTGTGAGTGAGGGGGAGGCTCACGGATGGGCTGGGTGGGCGTGCAGAAGGGCGGTCAGGTGGTGGCAGAGCTGAGGCAGGGACAGGCTGGGCAGCCGCTGTGGCTCATCCTAGCAGGCACACCTGGGATCCCAGGGGGTGTTTGGGAACTCTGGGAGAGTTCAAGAGCAGACAGGTTCCAGGGAGGGCCTAAGGTAGCATGGGCATGGCTGAGCCCCTTCCCCCTCACCCCCAATCATAGCCACTCCCTGGTCCTGCCACTCCTCACCTGTTCCATTGCCAAATTTACAATCCCTGCTAATTACAGACCCCCAGGTCCACGACTCTGATTTGCCTGCAGCACCTCCAGGGACTGCTCCGGACCAGCATGGACACCTGACCACCTCAGGCCAGCACAACAGACAGGCCGCTGTCTTGAGCACCTTCCTCTGTGCCCTCCCCCCACTGCCCTGACTCCCTGACCCGCCCCCTCTATTTCCATCCCTCTGCTGCCCTGCACACTGGAGCCATGTGAGCCCCAGCAAGGAAGTGTCATTGCCACCTGAGCTCACGGAGCTGTGACCTTAGGATCTGGCAGAATGACCAGGGAGGGGCCAGGACCTGGGGGATGGGGAGGGGGGTTTGAACTTGTGGGGGGGCGGGTGCTCGGGCTCAGTGGGGAGCCGGGCTAGGGCGGGGCTATGTACAGGAGTAGCCTGAAACCCTGAGCTGCCAGGAAGTGGCCCCAAGACTCTGGACTTGGGGGAGGAGGATTCCCTGGGAGCAGTCTCAGGGCCTCCCCCACTGTGGGAGTCCTCAGCACATCACAGAGTGTCACTTCTTCTTCTTTAAAGATTACCTTTTGAACAGCAGGATTAGAGAGGGAGAGAGAGAGAGAGAGCATCCATCCACTGTTCACTCCCCAGATAGCTGCAACAGCTGAGGCTGGGCAAGACCAAAGCCAGGAGCCTGGAACTCCATCCGGGCGGGTCTCCCACATGGATGCAGGGCCCAAGCACTCGGCCAGCCTCCACTGCTTTCCTAGGCTTATTAGCAGGGAGCTGGATCCCAAGTGGAGGCAGTGGCCACACCCCCAGCAGGTGCCTCTGTCACACACCCTCCTAGCCCCAGGGCGATTCTCTGACTACATTCACCTCCTCAGAGAGGACTGGGGGAAGGCAGCTGTGCCCTGGCTGCGGCCCCTCCCCAGGCCCCACACCCCCTCTCCTGTGGGGAGGAGACAGGGGAGGCAACCAAGGGGCTGGAGGGAACCTGGAACACAGAGGGAGCCCGTGAGGCCGCCCCACGGAAGGATCCCCTGAGGTTGGGGTGGGGGCGGAGACTGGGAAGGTGGCCTGGCCTGGAGGAGGCGTGGGGCAGCCACAGAGGGGCCGCGGGAGCAGAGGGGCTGTGCTGCAGACCCGGGGACATGGGAGGGAGACTCCACAGGGAGCGAGCTGCTTGGCACCGGGCCCTGGGGACAGGTGGGAGCGAGAGGGCGAAGGAGGGGCCAGAAGCCAGGGTAGCCATGCGGCGCCTGAAGACAAAGCGTCTACCTGGGTGCTGGGTCCCCAGGCCCGGGCAGTGGACCTGGGGGGAGCACCACTGCTCTTCTCCTTAGGGGGCGGTACCCAGATCTCAGGCCCTGCCCCCGAGAAGCCGGGTGGGGGGTAGGGGGGACGGTGCCCGCGGCTGTGGTCATCTGGGAGCCCCGCGGGTCCAGGGAGGATGACGTGCGTCTTGTCCTGGGTCCTGACTGGGACTTCGGATGCCAACGCCAAATGCATGACCCAGCTCCGTGGGGACTAAGCTTGGGCTTTGGTGGCTCAGCGTGCAGTGCACACAACACCTGGGCGTGGGGCCGTGGCTGTACTCAAGGCCGGGAACCCGAGCGGTGGAGGGAACCCCGCAGAGGGGGGCGATCTGGGGGACCTGGAGTGGGCGGGACTTGTGAGGGTAGGGGCCTCCCTGGTACTGGGGGTGGGCAGTGTCCCGGGCGTGGCGGAGGAGGAGTCAGGGCTCCATCCTTGCTCCCCGCCTCCTGCCGGGGGACATCTGTCTCCATCTGAGTTCCGCTGGCTGAAGTGGGAAAAGGGGGGCCTGGGGCCCCAGTGGGTGCGGCGCTACTGCTGCTCTAATGATGGGGTGGCCCAGGCTCTCAACACCTGCGGGGCTGCTGCCCCACCCACAGCTGAGAACGCGCACCTGCAGTCCCCCTGGTCAGAGCAGCTCAGGGACAGACACAGCCCCTTGCTGGCTGTCAGGAGGAGGAACGCTAGGCCCAGGCTGGCCAGGAAGGAACAGACAGGTCACTCCGCCTTGTCACGGAGGATTTCTCCCGTCTCTGATTTCCGGCAGTGTCAGCGCACCGCACAATTCACGCCACTGCGGCTGGACGGGGTGTGCTGCTGGGCTGTGGGACAGCCCCTCACAGAGCTCAAGACTCCCAGGACAGAGTCACTAGTGGCCAAAGGGAGAGGCAGTCAGATTGTAACCCCGCCCCTTCCACCAGAGCCCGCCCCTTCTGCAACCTGACTCTTGGGTTGCTCCAACATTCCCACTTCTTTCCTGGGGTGAGCAGTGTTGCAGAGCAGCCCGGACCCTGCTGGGGACACCTCATCCCAGACCAGAGTTCCTGTGCTCCACCGCCGCTTCCAGCTGGTGCCTCCCTGCGTGGCTACATGCCGATCCAGGTGGAGTCTGGGCTCCAGGATTCAGCCTGGCCCAGCCCTAGCAGTTGGAAGCATTAGGGGGGTGGAGCAGCCAAAGGGAGGACACTAAAACTTGTCTGTGTGTGTTGTGTGTGTGTGATGTGTGTGTCTGTGTGTGTTGTGTGTGTCTGTGTGTGTTGTGTGTCATGTGTGTCTGTGTCTGTATGTGCGTGTGTGTGTGTGATATGTGTGTGTCTGTGTGTATTTATGTATGTTTGTGTTGTGTGTCTGTATGTGTGTATGTGTCTAAGTGTGTGAGTCTAAGTGTGTGTGTGTGTGTGTGTGTTTCTTTGTGCCTTAAAAAAAATGGGGACTGTGTGAGATCAGTGCAGGACGCCCCACTGCCCATGATCCTGCCTGGGGCCTGGCTTCTGACCTAGATGTGTGTGTGTGTGCCTGATGATGTTCCTGGGCTGTGACAATGGACAGGAGATAACAGTGGGACACAGGTCCCAAGGGGAGGCGTGGCGCAGGAGCTGGGTTACACACTGAGGGCCAGGACAGCAGCCCAGGAGCTGTCACAGGGGGAGGACACCTGTCCGTGAGCCCCAGCCCCTCCACCTACTGACTGTGACCTTGACCAACCCAAGCCTCAGTTTCCCTCTGGTGACAGGGGCCCGCCACTTCAGAGTCCGGTTTCCTCTTCAGCTCTTTTGAAACCACAACCCAGATGAGTGCACAGAGTCCAATCACAGACAGACACCTGAGGGTCGCTCGGAAGAATGCCAGAAATGCAGGAGGCTCACGGCGCAGGCAGCGCAGGGCTGAGAACAGGCGTCTCTGATCTTGGGCACAGAGCTGCCACCAGGGCCTCCCCACCCTCCACTCGGCCTTTCTCCCCTTTCCCCTCCCCCCAGCCCTGAGCAGGCTTCTAGAAGACTTGCTGGACAAAGAGGAGAGAGGACAGGGAGGAGAGGGAGCCTGCAGAGCCAGTGGGGGGATGGGGCCAGCAGGCCACAGCCACAGGGGCAAGAGGGGGCATGGGTGTGGGCGTCTGTGCAGCTGTCTGGGGTTCTCCGGGCTTGGACAGCGAGAATCTCCCGGGGCATGGGTCTGAGCCCAGGGCTGGTGCTGTCCCCTTCCACCCACCACCTGTGCCAAGCCCTACAAGCCTTGGGGTAGGCTCCCTGCTCTTTGTGGAGGGTGCCCCAGGGCATTTGTTGGAGTCTGAGCTAAAGGTGATGGAGGCTCCTCAGCCCCACCCAGAAATGCAAATCACCTACCTAGGAAAACCTGTTGGACCACAGGAAACTCTCCCCAGCTGAGGAAACTCTGCAGTTCCCTGTGTGTTTCTCCCATTGTGGTCCCTAAGCAATGGCTGGCACCTGGCTGTCCAGCCTGCTGCTCCCTCGGGAGCACATGGCAGCAGTCACTCTCACTAAGGAGGGACCCTCGCTACAGGATTAGGCGTATGTCCTTCTTGCTGGGTGTCCAGCAGGTGGGCTCCTTCTCTGGTGAATCATCTCACCACCCAGGATTGTACCCCCTGTGGGTGTCTCTCATGCAGCTCAGCTTGAGCAGAACTGAGAAGCCCCACCCAGTGGTCTGTTTTAATAGGTCAGGAATAAAGCCCCCTGGCTCCTGTGGACATCCTTAGGTTTCAGGAAAGGGGGCATTTTGATCCACAAGTGACAGGACAGAATTGTGTGGGGGCTTAGTGGCTTCCAGCTCAGCAGACCTAGCCAG